TCCCAACCTCTCTTTACACCGTGTTGTTGTTATGTGCCATCAAGTCGGACCCGACTCATAGAGATCCCTCCTTGAGTTTCTGAGGCAGTATCACTACAGAAGTAGGTTGCCCAACCTTCCTTCTGAGGAGTGGCTGGTGGGTTTGAACTGCCTTCTGGTTAGCAGTCAAGTGCCTTAGGCACTATGCTACGAGAGCTCCCTCTTCACACCATAGCACCTTTATAAACAGTTTTCTCCTGAGGCCTGGGGTTCTACATGGCAGGTATCTCAAGTTTTCTTTCTCTAGTACCCAGCACACTCCAGGCACTTAGGAAATGGCTGCTGAATTAAGTGATGAATTATATTTCAGCATTCATCCATATAGGCTGATAACCTTTACCTTACCCAACCAGAGAAGCTCTGGTGGCCTAGTGCCTAAGGCATTTGACTGCTAACCAGAAGGTTGGTGGTTCAAACCCACCAGCCACTCCTTGGAAGGAAGGTTGGGCAATTTACTTCCTTAGTGACTTCGCCTCAGAAACCCAAGGAGGGGTCACTATGAGTCGGATTTGACTCAACAGCAGTACCTGCCTACCTTATCTTACGAGAGCCTCACAGCCACTCTGTGCATTATTAAAAGCCACCAATCCGTTTTATATGTGAGGAAACTGAGGCTTAGTGCCCCAAGGAACTGCTCTAGGCCACACTGTGGTGGCTAGCAGGACCTCAAAATGACTGGTGGGAAAGTAAAGAGCTGGGAGAATGAATTGGGGCAATTGACAGGAAGTAATTGTTTGCTAGGAGCCCTAGTGGTGCAGTGGTTAAAATGCTCTGTTTGAGCCCACCAGCTGCTCTTCTGGAGAAGGTGTGGCAGTCTGCTTCAGTAAAGATTTATAGCCTTGGAAACCTTATGGGGCAATTGTACTCTGTCCTACAGAGTCACTATCAATGGAAATTGACTCCACCACAAAGGGTTTTTTTGTTTGTTTGTGTGTTTAATTGTCAGTCAGAAATTATTGGCTCAAATTATTAGGTGTGAAAAAAGGACCAGTCAGTTTTCCCATTGAACTGCTCAGGATGGTGTTAGCAAGAGTGACTCCTTAGCAGAATAAAGGGCTGGTCCCTGAAGGGCAGGCCCTTGGGGTGTGGACCCAGTTCTTCTCTGGCTGGTCCTGGTCCACAGACACTGTAAACTTGACTTTGCAACTGGGAAACCTTTGGGTACCTCAGTTTCTTGTCTCCCAAGAAATCAATGCCATAGAGTTTTCTTCACTTCGGTTTCATCATTCTATTCCATGAGGTGTTTTCCTTCTAACAAAGTCTACTTGCTGTCTTGGCAGGACCTCCATCCCAGCATTTAGCCACGGTGTGCTATGGGCTTGTTTACTCGTGTGCCTCCATCGCTGGACTGTAGGCCTTGGAGACAGGAAGCATAGGGGCATCTGGAGCCCCCTGTCTGTTCATGTTGGCCACGGCAGGGTGAAAGCCGGGGAAGGTTGAAGGATTTACTTTAGGGAGCCCAGCGCTGATGCCGTTTCAGGGAAACGCCAAAGGTAGCCTTTCTCTCAGGTGGGCTCATGGTTAAAAGATACAAGGGCTACGGGTAAATACTCTCCTAGGGCAATAATTATGCACATTCACTAAGCCCTGGGTTTGGATTTTAGTTTGGGAGGAATGATAGTCACGTGGCCCTCGAGGGCGGCGCTCTCAGCTTTGAGATGGCGTTAATCCTAAAGCTAATCACAGAAGGCTTTCTGGAGGAGGCGGCATTTTCAAGGCAGTCGATTGTGGCTTTCTCACAACAGAGAGGATGTTTTTAGCGCTCTAGGTCCAACTCGCTCCCGAGGTGAGCTTCATGCTGGAGGGCAAAGCAGGAGGTAGTGCGGTCGGGCCGGGCTGGGGTAAGTCCTGGGGGACTGGAGTCGCGAGGTCAGGCCCGGGTTTCCCAACCAGCCCTTTGGCTCTCTTTGGATGCGTTGCGGCCGCATTGCGGCCGCACTGCGGCCTGAGCCGGGGGGCCCAGGGTGCTGGGTGCAGGCCGCGAGGTTCCGGGTGCGGGAGAGCACTGAGCCCCTGGCCGGGTTTTACGCCCACAGGCTTTGGCCCGGCCAGCTCGGCGGTCCGCCCTCCCCCACGCAGTTCCGACTGAGTCCCGACGCCTGGCCCGCAAGGGCGAGGCGCGCGCTCCCCGGGGAGCTAGGCTGCGGAGCCAGCGGCCTGCGTGGGGCAGCGGTGACACGAGAGGGCCATCTGCCTGGGCGCCGAGAACTACATTGTCCGCGGTGCTAGGCGAGGCTTCTCCCGGCCCCCAGCCCGCGTCTCCTGCCCAGCGCGCACGCACCTACTCCCGCCTGCCTGCACCCGGGCCCGAGCTCGGGTGCCAGGCCCAAACCCAGACTAGGCGCGGGAGGCGGTGCAGGGACTAGTGGACCCCTCCCTCGGGACTCCCCTTGCCCCGCCTGAAAAGCGAGGACCCTTGGGCCCAAGGGTGGTCTGGGAGCTTCGTCCGGGCTGTGCCGGGGCTTGGGGCTCTTCGCGGGCGGGGGCTGCATAGCAGCAGGCCGAGGTGCGGGTGTTCTGTCAGGCTGCAACCCAGCTCAGTTTCTGGGGGTGGGCTTAGCGCGGGGGTCACCCGGCCACATCCCCCAGCCAAGGGCGAGGCCCTGCGGGCACTGTCCAGGCGGGTAACCCGACCCGGATCCCCGGAGCCATTCACCCCGCACGGCCGGGCAGCGGGAGGGAGGGGAATGGGCGGGAGGGGGGAGGGAAGGGGCGGTGGGTGAGGGGCTGTGGGGACCGCAGGGCCGAGTACCCGGCCCTGCCTGCGCTGCTCTAGGGCGGCTGTCGGCGGCGCCCCGGACAAGCCAGCCCTCTGCCTCGCGGGCCTCGGGCCTGCGGCAGCAGGGAGCCCTGAGGTTGCACAGGCTTGGCTCGGGGAGGCAGACCCGAGCTGCTGCCTCCATTTTGTTTCCTGCTCAGCTTGGTCTGTGGTGGTGGTGTGGGTTTGGGGTGCGGCCGGGCAGGGGGTTCACCTGCGGCTACGCCTGCTCGGGGCCTGAGGCCTCGAAGACCCCAGCCCAAGCCCCCAGGTGAGCCCCGTGGCAGGAGGGGGGTTTCCTTGGCTTCGGGCCGAGCCGAACGAGCTGAGGGCAGGTGCCCAGTAGATGGGGAGCCCGGGCTGTAACCTAAGATGGAGGCCGGGACTGACGCGGGCCCGAGCGGGGCTGGCGGACAGGCCTCAGCCGAGCCAGGTGCCGTCAGGGTGGGGGCTCAAGACGGTTAAGGTGCAATAATATAGTGCAGCCCGGGGCCGGCAAAGCGCCCCGAGGTAGGTGAGGGGATCTGAGTGCCACCCACGACGCCCGCAGGCCGAGACACTCCGGGGAGGCGCGCGAAGCCCCAGGGGAGCCCGCCTCAGGCCCCGCCCGTACAGCCAGGCCGGCCCGTAGGCCCGGGCCGCGAGCGGGCGCGCGGGGGGAGGGGAAGGGGCCGCAGCGGCGGCTCTGCTGATTGGGTGGCGTGCTTGCAAGCCCGACTTCACCCGCCCTGAACCCCAAAGAGTGAGGCGAGGGAGCGCGCTCGCGGTGGGGGAAGGGGTGCGCGTGCACTCCGGGCCCTAGCCGCACGCGGGCCGGCGCGAGGCGCTCGGTCGCACGCGCCGCGGCGGGGGCGCGCGCGGTGGGGGTGTGAGGAGGAGGAGGCGGCGGCGGAATAGGCCGGGGCAGGTCGCGCTTGCTGCCTTCTCCCCTGAAGAGAGACGCGGGGGGGAGGGGGGTGCGGCGGGCGGCTCTTCTCTCTCCCCACCGCTCCGCTCGCGCCCCAGTGTAATGAGGGTCACCCCCTCCCCCCAGCCGGCCCGGGAGGGGGCGCGGGGCACGGTAACTAGTGTGCTGGGGTGGGTGGCGGGCAGGCGCGAGGAGGACGAGGGAGGAGGAGGCCGGGCGGGGAAGATGGTGGTGGCCGTGAGGTGAGGGACGCGGGGGAGGTCCGGGCGCCGCGCAGGGTTGGTGGCCGGAGGCGCTGCAGCCGCGGGTCCCCTCCATCACTACCAGCCGGGCTCAGGCCTAGCCGGCCGGGCCGCCGCGAACTTCCTCCCGGCGCGTTCCGTGCCCCGCCGGGCGACCGCGCGCACCTCGGCCTCCGCCTCCCCTCAGGTAGTTGGCGAGGGGTGTGGGGCCAGCTGCCCTCCCGCAGCAAACTTTGCTTGCTGCTGAATATTGATGAGTAAGATCGGCTCGGCCGGGAGGTGCTGCCGCGGCTGAGGGAGGGAACGCAGCCCGGGCAGGCGGTGTCGGCAGCAGCCATGTTTGTCAAGCTGTAGCAGCTGCTGCTGCCCTGACTCGGCTTCGCCGGCTGCCTCTGTTTCTCCCCCTGCCGCGTCCCAGCCTCGGGGCCCTGCAGCTGGGAACCGAGCAGGCCAGCAGTCTGGAAGGCGAGCTTTGCGGTTGCAGCCGCATTGGCCGACTCGTCTGCGGCCTGAACACGGCAGCTTCTAAGGCTCTGGGGCCGACCAGGCGCAGGGTGCAGCGCTATTGTGACCGCTGCGCCCGAGCGAGCCAGGAAGGCGGGGGTGGGGGAGGAGGGGTGCCTTTTTGTGCCGAGTCCGGGAGCCCCCCATCGAATCCCAAAGCCTCCTCCCTTCCGGAGATCGGCCGCTGAAGCCTAGGCAGGAGAGGGGGGACGCTGACTCTTCTTAAGATTAAGAAATTCGACTGCCAGAGGGATTTTAATTTTACTTCAGCCAAAGTGTCCACCAGTCTGCAGTGCAGAAAAAAAGGACGGGCTGTTTCCATGTGGCAGGATCTGCCCAGCTCCGGGAAGATGGAGTTTGCGGAGCCTCACCGAGGCCATTTTTCCATCGTCAGCGGGGGGAACTTTTTCCGTCTGTGGAAGTGCAGCAGAAAGGCATCGAGGCCACTAGGCCTTGAGAAGTGGCTGCCATTTTGAAGAGAAGAGCCAAGTGGCCTATTAACTCAGATTAATTGCTGTGTTTTTGGATTCCAGGTTGATGCCGTCCCAGGATGGATCAGACCTGTGAACTACCCAGAAGAAATTGTTTGCTGCCTTTTTCCAATCCAGTGAATTTAGATGCCCCAGAAGACAAGGATAGCCCATTCGGTAATGGTCAATCCAATTTTTCTGAGCCACTTAATGGGTGTACTATGCAGTTACCGACTGCCAGTGGAACATCCCAAAATGCTTATGGACAAGATTCTCCATCTTGTTACATTCCACTGCGGAGACTACAGGATTTGGCCTCCATGATCAATGTAGAGTATTTAAATGGGTCTGCTGATGGATCAGAATCCTTTCAAGACCCTGAAAAAAGTGATTCAAGAGCTCAGTCGCCAGTTGTTTGCACTTCCTTGAGTCCTGGTGGTCCAACAGCACTTCCTATGAAACAGGAACCCTCTTGTAATAACTCCCCCGAACTCCAGGTAAAAGTAACAAAGACTATCAAGAATGGCTTTCTGCACTTTGAGAATTTTACTTGTGTGGACGATGCAGATGTAGATTCTGAAATGGACCCAGAACAGCCAGTCACAGAGGATGAGAGTATAGAGGAGATCTTTGAGGAAACTCAGACCAATGCCACCTGCAATTATGAGCCTAAATCAGAGAATGATGTAGACGTGGCCATGGGAAATGAACAAGACAGCACATCAGAGAGTAGACCTGGTGTAGTCAAATCGCCATTCTTGCCATTAGCTCCTCAAACTGAAACACAGAAAAATAAGCAAAGAAGTGAAGTGGACGGCAGCAATGAAAAAGCAGCCCTTCTCCCAGCCCCCTTTTCACTAGGAGATACAAACATTACCGTAGAAGAGCAATTAAACTCAATAAATTTATCTTTTCAGGATGATCCAGACTCCAGTACCAGTACATTAGGAAACATGCTAGAATTACCTGGAACTTCATCATCATCTACTTCACAGGAGTTGCCATTTGTAAGCAGTTTTTGGTACAACTTAAATATATACATAAATGTATATATACAGGCAACTTAAAGGGAAACAACTAATTGGTTTTTGGGTGCTTATCAGTTCACAGCTGAAAGCATTTTAGGGAAACTACTTTGATTTTTAAATTTCTTTCCATTTTATGCGTTTAGTTCTTTTCAGCTTTTCTCAAAAACTCCGTTGAGGACTGGCTAAGTGCTAAACTTTTAAGAGTTCAGATTTAAATTTTCAAGATGGAAGTGTACATTGTTTAGCCTAAAGTGGGCTGTGGCCTGGCAGTATCTTGAGTGCAAGTGAACCAGTTTATTACCTGGTATCCTGTTTGTGCATAAATCATGGCTTAGTTTTTTAGTTGTTGGGGTGACCTCATTCTGAGGGTGGCGGTGCATTTTGGTACACATGGTAAGGGCTAAGATGAGAAAATTGGCTTTCTTGGATTGTTAGTACAATTTAAATAGGTTAATTTTTCTAAATGACCTGTTGTGAAGGTAAAACAACCTATGCTTTTGATAACTAGCACCACAGAATTGGCTTTTGAACCTTTTGTGGTACTTCATTTTGAAGCTTATGTATAGAGATGGAGAGAATCTAATTTATTTTCAGTAGAGTTGGGTAATATTGATACAGGGTTGTAAATTATAAACTTTTTTTGTTTGGACTTATGCAGAATTTCTTGAGTGTCTTGTTAGTGTCTTCGCTGAGCCTCAGTCTCTGAAATCTGAAACTACTTCATTGCTGAAAGGTTTATCAGCTTTAATTATTTGATTCTGATTTTGTTTCTGCCCAAACACATATTCATGGTCACCAGTAATATCACAAAAGATAATATTTTTTTGAGGGGCCAGAAATACTTTTGTAATACTAGGATGTCAAGGCTTTATCAGGAAAAGATTATATAGTGTGTGGTGGTGGTTTTGTGTGCATTAAACATTCACTTTACCATATAGATCTGCTATTCTTTAAAGTTGTAGAGGGCAAATGTGGGTGTGTCACTTTTGTTTCTGTTGGTTCATGTCTTAAATATGCTGTAGTTACTACTTCATGGTATTTTAGCTTAGTGGTTGCAGATTTAAAAAAAATTACTTTGGTGGTTATCTTGAGTCTGTATCGTCCTGAAAGTTAGTGGTTGTTTATTAGGGTGGAGAGGCTGTATTGAAAATCTGTTGGCAGTGCAGACAAATCCTTTTTCTTGCATTCACATTGAAACTTACTTTACATACATACTGTTTTGTCTTTGTTTTCACATAAAAACCTAGATCCAAGGATAGTAACAGATGTTTCTCTAGAAGCATACAAACCGAAATATAAATTTGTTCTGATTCTTATTAAAGAAATGTCAGTAGAGTATTGGTTCTATTAAAAAAAAAAAGTTGAAAATATTGGCGCTTATAGACAGTATGTGGTTCATCTAAAATGGGATTTAGCAAACTTTAAATGCAGAAAAAAAATCTCATGAAGAAAATTTAAATTGCTCAAAGACTTCATGGGGTTAAAGAAGCAAATGTCTTTATTCTGTCAGGCCTTTGGTTCAAGGTTGTGGTTGAAACCTGTTACTATTATTTTTGCCTTTGCAGTTTTTTAACTGAAGACTTAAAAAAGTGAAATAAGTCTCAGTGGAATGCAAATTTAGCTAAACACTGTGGCTTGGGAAAGATGTAATTAAAAACAATTCTATATATTGTGCTGTCAAGTTGGTTCCAATTCATAGCGATCCTCTGTACGAGAGAATGAAAAACTTCCTGGTCCTGTGCCATCCTCTCAATTGTTGCTATGTTTTAGCTCATTGCTGGCAGCCTTTGTGTCAATCCATTTTGTTGAGGGTCTTCCTCTTTTTTTGCTGACCTTGTCTTTACCAAGCATGTTGTCCTTCTCCAGGGACTGGTCCCTCCTAGTAACATACCTTAAGTACGTGAGGTGAATTCTCTTCATCCTTGGTTTTAAGGAGTCAGGCAATATTGACATACTCAAACTTAGTTGATACAAGTTAATTAATCACAGTGGAGCAGCTGTAGAGCCCTTGTCTGTATTAGATCCTATCCTATGCTCAAGGTTGGAAATTTTAGAAAGTCTTTAGCAAATGCTGTTTATCTTCTATTTTGTCTATAATGTTGTGATGGAGTAATATTTTCTTGGAGGTAAGAGTAGTTATTAGGGTTGTTAACCGTTTTTCTAGAATGAGAAAGCAAGTGATTTAAGATTATATTGGCTGCTGTTTTGTATATCTAGCTATAAGCAGGCTGTTTGCCTCCTAGATGAATAGCTTCTTCACTTTTCCCTCATGTGCTCTTTAATTATTTTTTCTGTATGTGATAGTGATATGAACACATTGTCATCAAAGTTTGTAATTCTGACTTGGTGCTTTTATATTTAACTGAGTTGACACCTAAGTTCTCCCAGTATACAGAGCCTCTCCCCTTGGGTTTCCGAGGTGGTATCACTTTGGAAGTAGATTGCCTAACCTTCCTTCCAAGGAGTGGCTGGTGGGTTTGAACTGCCAGCCTTCTGGTTAGCAGTCAAGTGCTTTAGACACTATGCTACCAGAACTCCCTTATACACGTTAGGTGTTTGATAAAATCTTGAAGGTTGGTCCCAGAGCCCCAAGTTTCAAACAGGCAGTAATTTATAGTTTATTAAGTGTTTGGGTTTGTATTATCTCATGGGGTCTTCATAGCCTTGTAGTAAAAAAAAATTTGTCAGAAGAGATAGGCCAACTTTCAAGGCACTTGAAGTTATTTGGAGGCAAGACAAACTCTGGACAACATAGAATAATCTGGCTTCTTTAGTGACCACTAAAGGTCTCGGACATTCTTTCCTTGGCTTAAAGTAACTCCTGGTTTCTTCACTGGGCTCATTTGTAGCAGTTGTTTAGTGCTCTGCTCTTTCTTAGTTTGTGGAGAATTTATATATGGTGATAGTCATGAATTTGAAGATCTTTGAAGTTCTTAGGAGGAAGTCAGCTTCAGGATGGTCTGACATACATACTATGGTAACCATCTTTTTTATCTAAAGAAGCAAAAAAAAAAAACAAAACCTGAAAATGAATTCACTTATGGTAACTAAAGTTTCATAGGTAAATAGGGGAAAAAGGTTTATTTAGATTGTATTAGATTCTATTGAAAAAACAGAATTATGAAAATAAAACTTTCTTGAACCTTCATAAAAAATTTGATGGCAAATATTTGTTAGACTAGAAATAAGTAGATTGTTTCACTTGATAAAATGCTCAGTAAAATTGTACAATAGGAAGATGACACTTTTTTATGTTTCACTTTCTCATCATGATAATTAATAGGATAAATTTTTATAAAAATATTTGAGGGCTTCATTTTAGTTTTTTTTTACCAATTTTGTTTTTATGCCACTTACAATTGGTGTCTTTTGATCGTGGATGTTTATCAAATCAAATCACTTTTTGAAGCTCCTGTTTTAGTATCCTTGTCAGTTTTCTCTTTTTTATTGGTATGACCTAGATCATCTTTTCCTTCTTGTAATTGGATTATTATTTACATGTACTTTAAGAAATGCTATATCTTTTTGCCAGATTTGTTTGCAGTTTATCTTGTATTTGATTTGCATTGTAATAATAGTTAGATGCTGCCTCATTACATGAAAAATGGTATGTCCATGGTATGGATGTTTGAATAGAGATTATTTTTTAAACTTGCTGTTTAAAAATAGATTTCTTGGCGTTGTGACAATATTTGTTGTCCCTCTACAGTCTTGGAGATTAAGAAAATACAAGCCACCTCTTGCACTAAATTATTTGCTGTGGATGTTTAAGTGGAAAGGTAAATGAAACCTAGAGTAGTTAAAGCTTTAAGGAAGTGGGACTTGAATTGGCTTTGGCTAAGTTGGGTTTGATTAGGTATTTTTTGTTGTTGTTATGTGCCATTGAGTTGGAGAAGGGTACTATGTTTAGATGTGGAGAGTTAAACGGGCATGTTCAGAGGATACATTTTAGGGATTGGTTGGGTATGAAGGGTGTAGTCAGGTTATAGGGTCTTCGGTATTGATGTGATAGAAAAGAAGCCAGCAAATAAGGGATTTTAGCTGAGAAGTGATATGAAATCTGTATTTGGGAAAGTTTGGCTGGGGGAGATGAGAGTGTTGCGGTATTGATTAAAGCTTAGAGTAGAGCAGAATCAGTACTGGAAAGAGAGGGAGTAAACTTAAAAGATTATTCCAGATTGCAAAAATGGCAGCCTTTTTGGGGTTGCCTGGATTGTAGGCCAAAAATTGGAAACTAGATTTGAGGAGTAAAGGAGAGAGATGAGTGTAGATGATGTCTAAGGCTTGTAGTGTTGTGTTGGTGCCTGAGAGGAAAATGATTCTTCAGGAATTCTTTCCTCTTGACACACCATCCCAGCAGTTCTCTACTTTTTTCTTTCCTCTTTGAGAAGGAAATTGATTATGTCTGCACACCTCTCAGGTTCTCTGTACCCAGCACCCTCCTCCTTACTAGGGGATTTTGTTTTATTAATTATTTTTTCCCCTTTGTCTTTGGGATCTTCATTCTCCTGCTTCTTTACTACATCACTTTTTCTGCCCCAAAATAGGTTGACATCTTTCTATGCTAGAGGAATCTATAACCCTCAAGTTATGATCCCCTTTACAGCTGAATTTCTTGTTTTCCTCTTTTCTCTCCTTACTCTATAATGCTCTGTGGTTTGGCTTTTATATCCTCCACTCTGCTAAAATTGTTCTTTTGTAAGTCACAAGTGAAAACTTCTCCATACTTATTTCACTGGATTTGCAGCATTATGACCACTTTACAGTATGTGTGTGAGAGTGTGTGTGTGTGTGTGTGTATATATATATATATATATATATATAGCTTGTTCTCTTTACCTTCTTTCTCTACAGTATCATCTGCTTCCATTGATTTACTTTGTTCCTACTCTGCTGTGTGAAAACTATATGACCTGACTTCTGAGCTTCAGACAAGAAAATCTAATAGCCAGTAGAGCTCCTCTTTGATATACTTACTT